ATTGAGCGACTGGTGCGTCTTGATACAGGTAATATGTAGTTGTTGTTATTCTCTGTCCTGCAGAGATCCACAATGATGGTTGCACAAAGATTCCAAAAAGCATTAACCACGCTTCGACCAAATTATTAACTTGTATGGGCAGTCAACTCGAAAAGAAGATCTCTTCTGCCTATTGGTGGTGGCTGGATAATTTGGTTGATGCTATCTCCTCTGTACGAGATCCAAACACACTCGATACTTGTCTCAAGCCTTTTGAATCGCAGAGCATATTTATTTCGAAGAGCCTATGCTATAGCCGCACACTTAGCAGCTATAACATTGTCATATACATCCGTAGGTGGTTCCTCATGTGGTGCCCAACTTGCCGATAAGTTCATCTCAAATTGCGGTGTCACTTGCTCGACGCATTCCAGCGGCGTTCTTTTGCGTATTATAGGGTTGATCTTAGTAACGTTAACCATGCAAAGTAGTAGTGATGATATCGTGGGAGATGAAAAATATAAAAACATACTTATTCCGGAAAATGAAGGGTTTGTACATATGGAAAAGAAATAAAATCCAATGATGCAAATATCCACACCAAAAACCGGGCACTGAACATAAAAATGCCGGCATTCTACCAACGCCCGATAAAAACTAAGGGTCGAACTAATCTTAGGTACGCATTAGTGGACGCGTATATCGTTCCCCTTCTCGTATGAATGATAATGGGTGCAAAGGTAACAGCCTCTTACCCCGTGACACATCATTAGATAAGCACTGCCATCTGTGATAAACATCTTCGGCCACATTCAACAACAAATAGAGCTTAGGTTTGTATGCCTGTGGCAAAAATTTGTCGATGTCATCCACGATGTTCGTCTAACGGAGACACACGGACCGTGGTCTACTGGAACGACGGCAACATCAAGTACAAACGACAATATATTAACATATATATATATGTATGTATGTATCTTATTAGTTCATGATCACAGCCATCATGACTATTTAGGCACGTCAGATCATTTGCTAAGTAGTCCTGTAATATTGTATCGAGTACTGGGTCTGAGATAAACCTTGTCTCGAATCTGGAAGAGACGACAAGGTCATATTTTTCGACTTACCAGTATCAGAACGTCCTTCGGAATATTTATGACACAGTGCTTATCGCATGTTTCGAGCTCAATCATTTGCACGATGCGTGATATTGTAGCGTTATCATGTTCTCAACCACCAACGAGTATAGTCATACCTACATAGATCCCTATACGTTGTACAGAACCTTTTTTTTGGCCGTAGGTAAATGCCACCATAAGTCCCAAAGTTGAGCTGTACGCAGACTTGTTTAAGTGATGTATAGGAACTTGGAAGCGTTGGCTTATACAAATATTCCGTTGTGTTCTCTATGAAACATCATCGTGTAGCGCTTACAATTTGACAAATTGTATTTCTTCACTTTATTGCGCTTGCTGAAGGCAAGGTATCCGTAATATATGAAACATCTCCACACGAATCTCGGATTTAATAATATTATTCCTATTATCTGAGATGAAAAAGTGCACCACGTGAGGTATACAATATCGCAATAACACAATACATCGTCTCGACAGGGTTCCTTCCATCATCGATGTAGAGAGACAGAATAGTAGCGATGTTGTTTTACCCTGCGTAGATCATAGGCGGATATCTAAGGAGGTGCTGTAACATAAGTTGAGGGGTCTGAGGCTACTGAGACGACACACATGTCAATTAACAGGGTAATGTACTCTTGTGCGACTATCTGCTCGAGCCATACTTACCAAATGCACGAACTTGTCTCTTGTTCGGGAATGTTCCTCTGTGAAGACTCGGTAAGTATATGTGGTATCTACACGCTGTTACAATAAGCTTTATCAGGATTCCGTTTATGTAAGAGGTGGATCGATAGTACCTTGAAGGCCTCTTCTATTTACAATTTCGTTTTTCAGTTAGATGCAATTTAGTCGCGTAGGACAAATATAACGATTTTTTCTTGGGTCGTATCTTCCGGTAATACTTACAAAAAAGAGCTTATCATCAATCGCATCAAAACGATATTGCATACTGTCCACAAATGAGTTATTTTCGTCGGGAAGTAATGTCCTATAATACCCAGAAAAATTAATGGAATTTGTGCCGCGTAGGTAAGACTTGCTCGTGATTGTCTGCAAAAAAACGTCTAGCATGACTATCTTTTATTTGTTCACCTGGGTATTTGTCAGCTATTGTGGTCTTGGCTTTAGTAACGTGCCCGGTGACCGCGGTGGTCTTTACCGTCACATAACACGAGTAGCATAGTCAATATCTTACAGAGAGTGAGACCTTCGCTGATGTATAACCTCTACTGGATTATAGGCGTTATATCTCATAATTGGTGCAAACTGGATCGTAAAGTTCTCCCGCACAAGATTAAAAGGTACTCTTGATAGACTTTATTCAAGCCAACCCGTATTTTCCTCCATAATCGTCCTAATGGAGTTCTTCGGCGTGAGCTGTGAATGTTATATCCCCTCCTGCTGTGGAGCTCTATCCAGGATAACATTGAGACCAGGAGCCAAAAAGCTACACATTAACAGATTAGCTTCCCCTATTCTGACTATTGGTCTCGCATATGTATACTCGAGCTCTGATGCCTGTCCACTTAAGATTAGTTGTTCATTTGAAAGTCTGTTCTTTCGATTGCATCGTTTTTGGTATCATTGCTACCAATTTACATTTCGTTTGAGCATGAAGTAGACAAAAATAAAATAGCTTTTACGAAATTGATCACGCAGCGACAGCAGTATCCCTTATTTACAAGCCATTTAGTATATGAAACATGCACGATTCGCACCACTCCACAAAATACTGATTTGTAATCGCAAAAGATGGAATCGCGTGCTCGGGCACCTTGCGGCTTCAACAGGCTTGTTGATGCAATGAAGCGTAGAAGTCGAATTATTTCTTCCGGAGTATACGCGTATAGAAAAGCAGGTGTAAATATGCGCAGGATTGTAAAAAATTGTTTCCAATTATAAAAACGTTTCAACCGCTATACTGCCTCTTCAATTTTCAGAAAAGCACCGGCAGGAGCTTAATGAAAGAATATCGTGTATATGAATCTATAAGTCAGGGTACAAAGCAACAGATTTTAGGTCCGCGAAACGTCGCCTAAAATACCTAAATGAATGAAACATACTGCTATTGTAGCAAATCTTATATGACGCATGTCATCTTCTCCGTAAAAGACTATGGCATGCTTGGCGAATTACTTATAACTACCATAATGTAAATAACGGCTGCTTGCGCACGTAAAGAGTCTTATTCACCTAATTTGAGCCGGACGTTAGTGACCAAGTGAACTGTTTCGACTTGAACAACAACCTTACGTAGCAAGATACGAAGTAGTGCGAAAAAGCAAAAGCTCACGATTGAACAGACTCGAGAAACTTTCATCCTACGCTATTCGCATTGTTGCAACGGGGCACCGAATGGCGGTCTGCCACTGTGCAATATGCCCACACTGACCACATTCTGATCAGGTGCCTCGAAAGTTTACGTCTACGTACGTGCATGGGTAGGTGGATCTACAAAACAAAGACTGATGCAAAGGGCGTTTGTAGACTTGTATCTAATCGATCCTTATAGTCTCCTCGACACAATGTCGTCGATTCTTTTTGTAGCAAACAACAAGCATGACGAGAGCTGCTCGCTCACTACCTATTGCGCGCGCCTACGAGCAATTGGTGATTTAGCTGGTTGATACATGACCTACATCGGTCAAATAGTGGAGTAATTGTCGATAATACCTTCGGCGGTGAAATACGGTCAATGCTTTACGCAGCAAGGTACATGTTGTACAATATTATCAATCCGGATGATAATCGCATTGACCCAATCGTGTGTGTAATGTCATGTAACGGCTTCACCCGCTGCATTTCCTTTATTGTACAAGCGTCCACATTGTCGGAAATGTGCTGTATGAGAGGGGTTGCAGAAGGACTGCAGCTGTCCAGGGCACATTAATGACACCAGTACCTGTCATCATTATCTAACGCGATTGAAGGTATGATGACATAAGGTGCGCGTACTAGTCTGCTTGGGCCGCCCGAGTTGCCAGTGCTCGACGGAAGACATCAAAGCGAAGGGAAAGAGAGGGACCATTGTGTATTAGAGATCAGTGATCTTAGTTAGTCTAGAAGTCCCTCACTTCGCAACTTTCATCAAAGACATCAAGTGCTAAACACTGGCAGCCGAAGAGTCGACTGCCCAACGCACAAACGAACTCTGGCGTGGATAAAAGTTCACCAAGCGGACACGTCTCTAACCTGAGAAAAAGAGGTACACCAAGGCTAAGGACACGAAGGTTGGAACCAATTCAGTGCATCTATAGGATGAGAACAAGAAAGAATGAATACAGCAGATCAAGCCAAACTAGTCGTTCCCACAGCACCGACTTTGAGCAGAAGCCGAGTTGCCCAGCAACCAGTTTGTCTATTGCCCTGTTGCACTGTAAACTTGCAATGGAACGGGCCATCCCTCAGCCTGAAGCAAACCATGCGAGCGTCGACGCCGACAGAACGTAATGTTGTCGATGCTATCGTGTTCAGCCATCGTCGTAAAATCTGCATGCGCACATGTTGATGACGTCTATGAAGTCTCGACAGTATGCGTGGAAGACCAAAAGAAAAAGCCGTCACTTTCGCATGTTCCTGCGCAACAAAATACGCGACGACGACTTCAACTGCTTTGCTCGACTTTTGCTCAACAAGCTCCTGTAGCTTCGAAGCCGATTGAGACGGCAGCGCGCCTTCCCTCGTTCATTCATGCGATTGGTCGCTCGCGCGATGCATCAGCGATACAAGAACAACGTTGACGGTTGTATTACAACATGCAGTTCCAGTTGAAGAGGCTCACCGCTGCAAACCTCTCTGAGCCAGCGACCACTTCAGTCAATCCATAAACTCTCATAGGTCCCATCTTCCACAATGCCTTTACCATCTCCGTCACCAGTCGTCGCCATGGCCGCCACCGACGTCTCGTCTTCGGCGCCGCTTCCGTCGCCCCCCGCGTCTGTCCCACACGCCGGCGCTACCGCCACAACGACTACTGACAGCGGCTTCGAAGCCGTTTTCCGCGCTCTCGCAACGCGCGCGCGGGTGTTCCCACTGCTCAGCGCCCACGTCGCCACTCTCTCGACTCCCCGTGACTTTTACGACCAATTGCTGCACAACATTCGCCACGCAGAGCGCCGCGTGTCGATTGCGTCGCTCTACATCGGTACGGGTCCCTACGAGCGCGCAATCGTCGAAGCCCTCGCCCGTCGCCTTCGAGACCGACCCGAGCTGCAGGTCCACCTCGTGCTCGACTACGCGCGAGGTCAGCGGAGTTGTGGCGCTTCAGCCGCGACGTCCGTGACGCTCTTGGCGCCTCTGCTCGCGGCGTTTCCACGCAATGTCGAGCTCTCGCTCTTCCGCGTGCCCCAACTCTCGTCCCTCGCTGCGACTCTGTTGTCGTCGCCGCTCAACGAGACGCTCGGGGTCTGTCACGCCAAAGTGTACCTCGTGGACGACACGCTCGTGCTCAGTGGCGCCAACTTGAGCGCCGACTACTTTACCGACCGGCAAGACCGGTACGTCCAGCTCCGTCACTGTGGTGAGCTCGGTCAGTTTTATCACGACTTTGTCGAGGTTGTCAAAACGTTCGCTTACCAAGTGAAGCTCGAGCCGTCGTCGACTAGAGGAAGAGGACGAGGAGGTACTGGACAAGGATCGAGTCAAAGCGATCTTCCCTATCGCCTCGTGCCACCGGAACTCGCGTACGACTCGGACGAAGCAAAAGGGGCTCTGAAACAGGCACTGGAACAGTTAGTGGACCCGGCCAAGCACGTGTCGAAGACCGTCGACCCAGCATCGGTCGTAGACACCTGGGCGATCCCGACGTTGCAGTTCACTCCTGTCGCTATGGACCATGACAGGCAAGTCGTGAGTACGTTGGTGGAGACTTTACCGCGTGGCTCGCAGCTGCAGATTGCCTCGGGGTATCTGAATTTCCCGCCATTTCTCAAGGACTTGCTCGTGACGTGTGAAGCTCACTTGGACGTGATCTCTGCGGCTCCTCAAGCCAATGGCTTTTATAATGCACGAGGCGTGAAAGGCGCTCTGCCCATGGCGTATTCGCTCATTGAGCAAGACTTTTTCGAGCAAACGCTTGGCCGCAACTTCCCGACAGTGCTGCGCGAATACAATCGTCCTGGCTGGACTTTTCACGGCAAGGGTATGTGGTGGAGACCGCGCCTGCGCAACTCGCACGCGACTGGATTCGGCTTACCTCAACTCACGGTCGTGGGGAGCTCAAACTTCGGCCAGCGGTCGTATGGCTGCGATTTGGAGTCGAACTTGGTCATGTTCACGCGAAACCCCGTGCTTCAGCGCCAATTACAAAATGAATACGACGCTCTAACGCGGGATGCAGAGGTGGTGACCGAGCACCTCTGGCGACGGCCCGAGCGCATGCTACAGAGTCTATTCAGCTGGAAGGATGGCTATTGGATCCGACCCGTGTCCAAGTTCATTGCCGCGTACCTCTAAATCATCGGTCGATGCTGTCTACAGAGCTCAAAATGATGAATGCGAACAGCTCATTGCTTGGGTTGGTCGTGTTCACGCGAACGCGTTGAGTCGCTTGCTTGTCTACAAATAGCAGCCGACTGTAAGCTGCAAGAACACGCCTGACAAAAGCGGGAGCGTCAAGTTGTCATCCCATCCGCCCAAGTTGATCATTTCTGCGGCGGCCGCGCCGATTCCTGCTCCAAGTGCGATTACCGCAGCAGCGCCTACTGTCCCATCGTCGCCGCTCGTGTCAAAGTAGAAATCACGCTCGACCATCAAGACCAGAAACGTTGCGAGGGCTGCGACACCACAGCAGCCGATTGAGCCTTCGAGCGACTTGTGGCCACCCAGGTTGCCCACGAGCGTCACCCATTTGTGTCGACCGCACAACGTCCCAAAGAACGCTGCAGCAGGGTCTCCAACGGACATCTACAGCAACAACAACATCAACAACAACAACAACAACAAGACAGCAACAGCGGTAGCAGCATTAGGACAATCCCACACATAGAACTGAACATGTCACTGGTCTTGCCAAGCGCTGTTGTACGTCAACACAATCGATAGTCGCACATGAAGAAGCGCAAGTCGCGCTATGCGGAGCTGAAACAGCACGAGCGAGCAGCCCGAGCCCAGCAAAAAGTAGTACGCTCCCGGTAGCGTTGCGTTGGCGACTTCGTGCGGTCGCATGAGGCGACGAAAGCGTTTGAGGTATGCAGCATCGAAGGCGTTGCTCTGTCTTCGCAGCGCGTGACATCCGTAGCAAAGCAGTGCAAAGGAGAGCAGAACCGTTGCGCCCGGGCCTCGACCGAGAAAGCGGGAAGCGACGTAGATCAGACTCCCCGTGATGAGGTGGTGAAGTTTGCGCGGTAGGTGCAGATCGGAGCGATCACGCGCGACGTGGTCGCTTGGCTTGGCGGGACGGTGGCCAGTCGATAGAATGAACTGGAACGACAAGATGACGGCGATGCTGATAGCACAGAGAGCTACGGGTACGTTTCCCTCTTCTTCCTCTTCTGTTGCTGCTGCTGCTGCGGACATGTCGTGATTGATTGTGCGTGTGGCAGAGTTTTGACAGATGGATTGGTGCAAGCGATGGATCGATGGACGGACAGAGGTTCACGATGGTCTGTTTTCCTTGTTCACGACTTGACGTACAGGGACGCAGGCCACAGAAAGCAGAAAAAGGATTATGGTGTCTTTGTATAGAACCAAAGGGACGGGAGTGGCGAAGAGGGGATCCGGAGGTCGAGATTAGGAGGGGAAGAGCTAACGCTACTGGGCGCGAGCTTTTCTGAGTACGATTCGTTCGAGCTACTTGCCTGATCAAGTTGGCGAGAAGGAAGAGCCCTATCATTCAATTGGTAGCCGAGTCGGTCGCATCTGTAGTTTCCTCGACAGGTGTACACGGTACGTTTCCTCTTGCTCCATGTGAGCAAGTCCGAGCTCGTAACGGTCAAACTCTTTGTAATTTGCTGTCCTCTTGGTGAAGACTTCTACGGCGCGGTGAAGCTAGCCAAGCATGAAGGGACGGTCACGACTGTTGCGCCCAAAGTAGAATCGTAAGAGCATCTCGTGACGACGCGCCAGAAGGAACATAGTGTGCGAGAACGAAGTAATGCGGGCCCAGTTGCAACATCCAAACTCTACGGGACTGCCCGGACGACGACTGCTGGTATCTGGCACTTGAGAACCTTCCGGGTGGAAGACTTTGGAGTCTGGTGCACTCATCCGCTCATACCATTATGAAAAGGTAGATACTACCGAGACCACTTCGCAGGTGCTTGTTCACCGAGTGCGCATATGACATCAGCGACTCCGTCTGACAGAAATGGCTCGCCGAATTCCACACCGGCGTCAGTCATCGTTTGATGGCGGTTCAGCCACGGACAGTTCTCGCTAATGCACTTGGTTTTCGGTGCAGTCTTTCTATTGGATGGAAGATAAGCCAGAGAGTTTGCCATTGACTTGCACCCCGGTCATTCGTAAGTACTTGCATGGCCTCGGGCTCTATCGCGACCTCAAGCTCGAGAAGTAGTGCTAGACACAAAAGGGGCTACCTCGAGTTCCGAGACTTTAACTTTGCCGAGCGTGATGCGCCGCGGGCAGAGAAAGTCACGCACAGACCCAAAAGGCTCATAGTATGACGTTTCGCGGATAGACTACATGGTGACTGAATTATTCTAGTACTAGCCACATGATCAACGAGTCGATTTACGATCTTTTGCCTTCATCTTGCACGAGCTTTTACGCGTCAAGGCCCTTTCGCCGCCAAAATTCGCCTGAGCTCGGATGTCAGTTTATAATTGAGAGTATGGAGTTCTTGATTGGAAAGTATAAAGAATAGCGCCCACTCGCCTGCGATCTGGATGAGCAACTACCGGAGAAGAATTCGCACGAGATGTTCATCAGTACTTGAGATCACGAAGCGCCTAATCTTTGCGTGCGTTTCTCGTATCTTGACGATAGAAGCAATTGCTTCGTCGATGACGCGACGTTTTACTCCACCCTGACCACGATTGATTTTACAACGTACTATTTATCAATGCGGACGAGCACAGGAGGATCATCGAGCGGATGTGGAGCCGATGCGGAGCCTTGTTTCGAATTTGGCCTACATATCTTCAGCGACTTCTTATTGACCAGAAACGCCACTTCGTGGCGATTTCTTAGTCATTTGCCATTGCAATCGAACAACCAGTGATGGCGAGCCCGAGGTCAACACATACTGTGCTCCTTCATTTCTGGCTTTGCAACGTTTTTCTGAACGTTCTAGCATTCTACGCCAGGTCCGGGATCACGCGTGTAGACTGGTGATTCGGCTCAGTGTTAACATTGCTTGCTACTCGCGTACTTGTAACGGGGTGAGTCCGTTATACGTAATTGACACTACGTTTGGTTAATGTGAATATGATGTTGATCGATAGTATTCTACGATACTTATCTTATCCAGTAAATATTGATCGTGTTATGTCGAAGAGGATCGGAAAGTGTGTGAAATCAGTTATTCTATGGACTTTCTCGTCGTGTTCTATTCTCCTTCCTTGTATCTTTCCCTGATCTTAATGAATTCTTGAATCTACACTCAAGGTAGTTCTAAAATTATCAGACTGCACATGAAATATTTACACCCTGCCGCATCCTCGCTGTCTTGTCCCTTGTCCGTTGCAAATCACAGTTTGCTTTGTTGACCATACATCAACAGTGCACACCTCAACAGATCGCACATTACCGACAAATGTAATTTTTCGCACCGCTTTACACATTGTTGATGTAGTGTTTTTATCTATAACCTGTAACAATTTTCGATCTCTATCACTCAGCTATCGCTTCATCCCATTCTTTTTGACACACAAATCTAAAGCCATAGATGGCTAGAGTATGCTACTAGCTTCGTTTCTGTAGCCTCAGATTTTGATTGGAAAAAGACTCCGCGAAGTCATAGGACCCTAAAGTTTGGAGAATTTCTTTGATTTTGACTCGCGGCGAGCCACGAACGGCCGCTCTAAATTCCCCGTGTAGACTCATTTTCTCGGTTTTTCTATATTTTTTTGTGTGCAACCCTAAAAATCAGTCGACAAATTAGCGTAAAAGAACCATTTTTGCAGTCTTAAAAGTGGAAATTGGCTGTCGTCACCCTTAACGGCATTGTTTTGCCGGTTAATATCTTCACTTACTAAATACGACGCATGCAATTATTCAAATCCATCAAAATTCATCACGTTCGGCACAAAACTATTACAAATAACAAAAATTGGCAGCATCTAAATCGTTTACATCCATTAATATAGAATTGGAACCTTAGAATGCGACCAATACTTTTATACGACAAATTTGGCGGCCTTCCTAGTCAGGATGTTGTGACATACGTCCATGTACCCGTAGCCCTTTTTGGAATGGCGGCAGCTGGCAGTGAGGAAGACTAATGCACGTAATTATAAGATCATGTGCTTGATGCCTTATTCAAGCATGGCATTTGATTCTCCCCAGAAATATTTTGATGAAAGTCAGTGTTCAATAAAACCCTAGAAAAAACGAAGTGGTAGCCGACCGCAGTGATAGCCGACCGCAGTGATAGTCTCTTCCAAAAAAAATATGGCTCTTAAAATCGCATTGGATTTGGATGACACTGCGGGCGCAGCTACAGCCCTCATAATCTGCAAGTGCGGTAACCATTTGTTGGGGCGCGGCATTGTGGTGAGTTGGCGATCGCTCTTTTGAGGAGTTGATACCGACTCTTCACTGTCGCCCGGACGACCGACTAACGGAGGGGGTGCTCCGATTCCGTGCAGTAAATTTTACTCACCTTGTGTTCCCATCAGTAGGGCGGGTTGCACTTTTATCAGGTGAACTCGAGTCAATGTCGAACTTGACCGTGGTTGGGATTGTGGCTGTCGCGTGTAATCTTTTACGATAGTGGGTGCATTTGTAAGGTGCTCAATATGAGTCTCCTTAATCTCTACGAGATCGCCTTGCCTAAAGTAGATAATGGATTTGCTAACCTTCTGACCACTTGAGTCGTCTCGCGATCTTGCATTCTTCGCCTTTACTTGTTTTCTGCGTCCAGTCGTAGTTGGGTTTTGGTTGAGAGTCCTTGATCCCTGGCCGAACAATTCAGAGATAACACTTGAATAAAGTATGTAACTTCTCTCGACTTCGCGTGGCCAATGATCCAACCCGGAAAAGAAGTCGACACGTGTCGTTAGATGCACTTTAAACTCTTTATTACCTTATTACTAAGCTATTACTTCTGGAATCTAAAATGATCCTTGGTCAAACTATCTAGGAATTACTTTATCTCGGTAAACGCGTGGTAACCGTGCCTTGATCATCGGAATGCCAATATACGATCCTGCCCGGAACTTGCCGCGACTCATGCCCAGACTGATCTATGTCGAAGTTCTTGATTAAGTAACTGAGCGCATCACTTCAATTGAGAGTTCATTACTATCCAGACGATCCAGGGACTGATACGGCTCGGACGCGTATACTCATAAACATAGGGACGACAATATGCGCACCAGCCCGGAAATGTGCTCCGTCACGCGCAGACGAAAAGATAATTGATCGAGAGGCTTTGTTATTAAAGACTCGTGACACACTCCTATGCCGAGAGGCCAAAATGAGTCCCTGTCGAAGGAGGTAGCCACTCGTCTCGTGCAGAAGGAAGTAATTTGAAGTCTGTTGAATGCTTACCAATCAACTTATAAAATTGACACATCGCCAGGCCTGTCTATATCACGGCCCATGAAGCTACGATTTTCCCTCTCCTGAAGATCTCCCCTTTGTTTCGATGTGGCTTAAACTAAGTGCGCTCTATCTAAAGCCTTGGCGTGACCCACACCCGACTTCTATGCAAATGACATCAGGCTTGCGATCTCTGGTTGGGATCGCGAGATCGGATCGGGATCGCGATCGCTGGCCGGGACCGCGGCCTCTAGTCGATCTTGTGAACCTTGAGTCCTCCCGCGATCTCTGGTGAGATTCGTCTTTGGATTGCATAACCATCTATGCGTCACCACATATCTCACCCTTGTCACAAACGATCTAACGATCTATTACGTTTGAGTACACGATCATGAGCCACCCGTTCCAGCTCGTATTCTTTAAATCAAAATTATTTCTGGACTTAACTGACGTTGGCGATCTGTGGGCCCCCTCGCCCAACGCAACGGTAAAGTCTCGTGATTACTTTACCAAAGCATGTTGGACATTGTATACTGATTTTTTTATTAATTAATTTCTGAAAACGTGCAAACGTTGTGCTTGTTGTGTGCAGTGCGCCGGGAGATTACAAAAAAGGCGTTTGTGGTTACGAAAACGGCGAAAATTCATTTTTTTCTTTCACATTTGGCGCAAAAACATACATTACAGGTTAAAGGTAGTGCGAAGCTTTGACCATTATATCGACCAACCAAACCACTAATCGCTGCCAGAATCGCGCAATGGGTGATGAGCGAGTGGCTACATTAAATTTTTGCAGAACGCTATCGCTATGTTTATATCATTAGGTGTTTTATCAGGGAACTTAACTATATCAA